AAAATGATAACATTGAAATATTTAAAAAATGGATCTTGGAGGGATGATTGTTAGAATTTACAGCAAACGACTCGAGTGAGTATAGCGGTGAGATTCTCCAGGAACACTTTAAAAATAGGCCACCACCGAAACTGCCATCTGACGGACAACGCCAAATATGACTAACGCAAAAGCAAAGGATTAAGTAAAAAAAAAAAAAACAAACAAAAAGACAGAGATCATTTAGTTTATCTACTGCCTCTTTTCGAATAATAAACAGTAATCACTAAAAGTAACAGAACCAGCCAAATGATTTATACTTAGAAAATTAAGGAGTGAAAATTTATACCGTAAGCTTGATAGAATTATTTGAAACAATTATTGTGTACGCCGATATTGAAGACTACACCAATTTCGTTACAACTTCTTCTCTCGGAAAGAAATTTCAATTTTCAAATCCATTTTTTTTGGTATAAATGACAGCTCTTCGGTACTTATTTCACTACAGTATGACTTTTTAAATGAAACTATTAAGTTATAGTGTACAACTTGCCCAGAGTCTGAGTTCCATTTAAACAGACCACCGAAGCATCTTCCTCGTGATAGCAGTAACCGTTTACATTCCATCCACGGTGAGGACAGTCTTCAATCGAGCTTTCGTTGCCTAGGCAATTCACGTCACCTAGCCACACATGACCATTTCCTTCGCCAAATGTAGCATACCTAGGGGCAGCAATGGCTTCGCTATATCCAAGTTGGCCACAGACCACTTGCGCATCTCTTGTATCCCAGAAATCGTCACAAATAGTTCCCCAATGACCAGCGTGGAATATCTCCACTCTTCCTTCGCCGTCACGTACCCCGTCAGCTAATCTCAAAATTTGATCTGAGAAAAAAGTGAATGTATTATATGTAAATTGAACATCAAACAGCACAATCAAGTATTTTCGTCAATCTTGATCAAAAGTCAACCTTCAAGTATAATTTTTTGTTTTAATGACCAACTTAGTGTTGATGGCTAACTTTGTGTTAGTGGCTAACTTTCTCTCTGACGAAGGGTAACGCTCCCAGTGGCCAATTTTATATTATCAACTCATTTGTTAAAACCTGAAATTACGTTGTTACCTCCACCAACACAGCACCAATGTTTCTTTAGAAACTTACTTCCTTTATAGCTTTGAAACAATTGCTCATTTCATTCGTAATATTTAGAACCTCCGATTTACACCAAATAACTAGCCTGTGGTCCACAGATTTATAACTTAAAAAGCTTTTGACCTCAGGCTAGTCATTCCTATTAAAAGTATAAATATGCACCATAGGAAAGAGATGACCAGTCTTGCCTGTGGTGCATATCTGTACCTTAATTAAGAAGGAGAGATATTTCAAATGCCTTGTTTAGCTCGAAATCACAGGAACCCGGTCAGTTGAGAAGGGCGTCGGGGTTTCTTTCTTTACTTGGCATGGTCCATGGCTTCTAAGGACAATATGCATTTGCCACGAATATTTGTACCTCAAGTAAGAGTAGAACTACACCTTTAAAAAGAGCAAAATTTTCATGCCTGGATAATTTCAGCCAGAATTTGCGAGCGCAGATTTCCTGTTCAAATTTTCGTGTATAGGACATTTCTTGGCATCCCGTACTCCATGTCACTTGGTAGTTGTACTTAGTTTGAATCAGAAAAAAAAAAATTCGTGTTCTCTTATTATTCACTATCTTAGGAAAAAAGTGACGTATTTTGTGCGCCTATTCTTTCCTATTATAGAATGAAAATAATTTGAAGACATAGCGACCAACATTTCCGTGAAAAAGCAAAAGTAGAATATCTACCTGGCCTGGGCAATGGGGTATATTTGCAGACTACCCCAACGTCCTCAGAGTGGAGGCAGTTGTGACTTCCCCATCCACCATGGCGGCACTCTGCAATGCTTGTTTCATCACCGACGCAATGCACATTGTCCAACCAAATCTGGTCTGGTACACTAAATCGATCGTACCAGCCACAGCAGTGTGTACTCCAAGCACCTTCGCTGAACCCCAACATGCGGCAGATGACGTTTGCCTCCTCGATTCCCCAGTTGTCGTCACATATGGTTCCCCACGTGTTGTTTAGATAAAGTTCTACTCTTCCTTGATTTGACGAGGGTCCAGAGCGTAATTTTACCTGCAGTTCTGTAGATTACAAGGTGTTAGGTCGTGGACTTCAAACCTTAATGCCTAATCTCTATCTATATGAAAGGGATTTCGAAGTAGAATATTATTTTAAGGAAGATAAATTATGAATTTTAATTTTATATAACAACTTAACTCACCAGGGTGAGGTCCTGGGTCTAAAGTTGGACCTTGAAGGAAGAAAATACAAAATAAAGTGAAATAAAAGCAACGAGACTGCGAAGGCAATAATAGGAAATATATAGCTAGGCTACTAGGCCAAGGTGACCCTTGAGATCATCTATAACAATGTCTAGCTTGGTAGATTTCATTTGCCCTTTGGAGAATGATGATCACCTTTCACCTGGT